CACCAACGACTTCTTCTGCTTCTCCTTCGTCACCACCAGCTCCTCACCACACAACACTAAGAGTACCACCACGACTTCCTCTTCTTCTTTTTTCTTCGTCACCAGCTGCTCTCACCACACAATACGAGGACCTCCGGATGCTGACTCAACCCGCCACAACCAATACCTCAGAAACCATGGCCAACATCCTCTGTCACCAGTACGCCAACTTCTTCTTCAGTGCAAAATCGACGCCATAAGAAATCACTATTATTTTGCCATAACATTGAAGAGACAGTTGGATGCGTTCTCACTTCATCAGTTATGGATAAAATATGAGAATCCATCTTATATTTTGTGTTAACTTGTGAGTCGATGATGATTATTCTCACAGCTTCAATCACTGGGAAATTTTAACTAAGATCTTTTTCATAGTCAATCTTTTTGTCGTAAGATAAGTTGTCCTTCGTCTTCAGTCAGGGGGAAAATTTGATCGACGGATCTTTTGAGAATCTGTGATGATGATGAGGGAATAGGGTGAACGATAATGAGAATAGGAGGAAGTAATGAACTTGATAACAGGGGGACTGCATGAACCATGGATAATTTCATGATGACAGGAGAAGGGGAATCCTCGATAAATTATAGAGGTGGAGAACTGAGGAATCATCTATAACTCCAGCGATAAAGGCTTGAGAGATGGATGTGTTGTACGACCTAAACAATATTGAGATAGAGCGTCATTGAAGATCTCACGAGTAGGGTGGTGACTTTAATGAACCTTCTGTATACAAGATGAGACCAGGATTATGATGTAACATGGGTTTAATTACTACTACTACTACTACTACTACTACTACTACTACTACTACTACTACTACTACTACTACTACTACTACTACTACTACTACTACTACTACTAATCATTCATTGGTTAAAATATTGTAAATAATAAGTTGTGAAAGATTTGACAGTCGGGGGCGTGATCCTCTGAACCATGAGTCTCCCTCGATGAGTCAAACGATAACACTGGCACGAAGCGACGACGATTGGTGTGAAACATCAACAAAGGAGGTTTCCCTGTCATTGAATTGAACTTGGCTGACGGTGCAGTTCTCTCTCTCTCTCTCTCTCTCTCTGTTCCAACGCCCCACTATCCTCTCTCTCTCTCTCTCTACCTTCCTGTCGCACCCTGCTAAACACACCCACACCTAACCCACGACTTAACCCCTGACAGTTAAAGATTCTCATGATCATTGGTTCTGAGCCCAGTGACTAACGGCAGGAGATTACTTGGTGAATGTAATAAGAGCCTCGTTACCTGGGCAGGACCGGGAGGAGGAGTACAGTAACGCAGGGACTTTAGCCAAAACATACCTTGAGGATATCTGATTATGGGTGTACTTAGGCAGGTGACGCTGTTAAGATGGTCGTGTGTAAAGGCTTTAGTGTGGGTACGTGGTGTTTATTGTTGTTATTATTATTATTATTATTATTATTATTATTATTATTATTAAAGCATCACAGCTCAAAATATCACATCCTATAAACTCTCATATTTTTAACACCTCAATATGTACAATGACTTAATTGACCAATCATATAACGTTTATCATTGTTATTGTTTTTTCATTGGATTATTATTAGAACATTTATGGACAGATTAATGTACCAGTCTACTGCTTCGGGTGTACTTACTGTATATCTGTACCTGTAATTACGTCTATACCTGTACCTGTGTTTGAATTGAATATCAGTAATATCATTTATTTCTATTGAGAGAGAGAGAGAGAGAGAGAGAGAGAGAGAGAGAGAGAGAGAGAGAGTCTTTTGTTTATGGTTACTTCACTTACTCAGATCATTTAAGTAAATTTCATAATCCTCCATCATTGTTATTATTTTTATTTACACACACACACACGCACACGCACACACACACACACACACACACACAGACACAGACACGCTTCGACCACTAACTTCGTTTACCGTGTTCGAGAATCCGACTCCCGGATTATGCTACACGAACACAACAATTATCACACACACACTCACTGTAAAGTCTAATGATCCACTAAATGCAAATTCCATCTGGTGGTTGACACTGAAGGTACAACACAATGGGCAGTTGGTGGTGATGGTGCAACTTGTGGTGCATGTCTGAGTGGCTAGTGAAGTTGTCAGGGGTCGTTGTGGTGTAGTGTGTCACTCTGAAGTATTGTGTGTGAGAGAGAGAGAGAGAGAGAGAGAGAGAGAGAGAGATCGTTATTGTGGTATTTCATTCTTTTACACTACTACTACGACTATTACTACTACTACGACTACTACGACTACTACTACTATTTTTATGACCTTGAATCTCTCCTCACAGCCAAACCTTTGACACCATTTTATTACCTAACTATCCGAACACAAAAGTATCTACCCAAGTTAAGTTAGTTAAGCTGCAGATCTATGCGGCATTCAACGACTGTTGCCTCATAGTCTATGTCTGTGACTGTTGTTCGTTTACAGACCGAAGAGCTTTTTCCCCTGATGCATAGCAGAGCAGATCTGAACAAAGGGATGACAGTCGACACCTCAGCCAGGCCGCGACTAAGTTTCTGGGCTGCTCCTTCTGTTCTGACAACATCTCGGCCAGTCTGGCATAGAAGCACTTTACACTAGGTCCCATCCCGCCCAATGTTGTCAATACCAGATGAGTGAAGCTGCCTTGGTCCACGTTCTGGATTTTCTTTGCGTACCCTCTGCTCTTTTTGTTCTTGTTCCTCCTGTGTACAGCCGCGGAAGCCTAAACGCGGTGAAATGTGGCCAGAAGAACGAATATCCTGAGATCAGAGAAGGCTCGCTGTCCTCTCATCCAGAATCCTCGCGCTCAGACGTCCACACGGGCATCGTTAGTTGTGTTGGCAGTCGGGTGAAGGAAACGCTCTTCAATCAGTGGGAGGAGGGTCGGTGATGTCGCGGTATATATCCTTCAACATATTATTTGCTGTGCGGTCCTTTACTTCATAATGCCTCATGCAAACGAAACCTCCCTTCTTGCACATTATCGTGTGGTTGATATCGTAGGTTGCTCCACACACGTACTGGATGGGCAAGCCTTCACCCACTCATTTACTTTTCCTTTTACGTACTCGGTTTTGAAATCATTCGTGCCGATTACCGCACCTAAGTGTCTTTGACCATCCTTTGTTATTTGGACCTCACCACCATTGAAGACCTCTATAGCCCTGTCATAGTTTTGGCTTCAAATTTAGGAAGAACTTGATGGCGTTTGAATGGTACCCGTTTGTGGTCCACATGTTACTGCCAGGTCTCACCACTTTTTTATATCCTCCACTTTTCCTGATCCTGTGAGGTCATCAAAATATACTACCTGTTTGACTTGGTGGTTTTATAACTTAGCGCAGAGAGCAGTGGTTTAGTACATACTACTGCTTTTGTTACTACTACTGCAAATAATAAAAATAATAATAATAATAATAATAATAATAATAATAATAATAATAATAATAGTAATAATAATAATAAAGTAAAACCTATTAATATAAATTCTTCAACATAAATCGAGGTAGATGATTAACTTTTCAGAATGTTAATTTGCATATTTAAGAGAGCTACTGTCTTTGAAGAGCACACACACACACACACATACACACACACACACACACACACACACAGACACACACACTTCATTGAAATTTTAATTGCCAAAAGACTGGTGTGTTTTTCTTAGGAAATTAAAATGAATGATTATACGGGTCAGAGACATTTTGGAATATCCTTGTGTGTGTGTGTGTGTGTGTGTGTGTGTGTGTGTGTGTGTGTGTGTGTGTGACCATGAGCCACTGAATGTGATGGGGAGGAGAGGAAATGTTGTACAGATGAATAGTAATGAGCGGTGTTGTGTGTAGGTGGGGTGGGGGGGAGTTGATTTTGACGTTCAGTTTGTAGATAGTGATCACATCACACACACACACACACACATATAGTATACACACATATCCACAACGGACAGACAGACCGAATGCAAATTAATTAATATTGTTACCTTCACTTGGCGGTAATAATTTTTTTTTAAGTGATGAGACAGTGAGTAGCGACGCCCCTCTTGTCTTTCTCTGATTTCTCTATACTTTTACTGTGTTTCTGGTGTGTGGTGGGGGAGTAGGGGAGGTGTGTGTGTGGGGGTGGGAGGTGTGTGTGGGGGGGAGGTGTGTTTGTGGGGGGTGTGTGTGTGTGGAGGGAGATGTGTTTGTGGGGGGTGTGTGTGTGTGGGGGTGGGAGGTGTGTTTGTGGGAGGTGTGTGAGTGTTTGTGGAGGGAGGTGTGCGTGGGGAGGTGTGTGTGTGGGGGAGGTGTGTGTGTGTGTTGGGGGGTGCGAGGTGAGGTGGGGGGTAATGTGTGAGTGTGGGGGGAGACGTATGTAAGGGGGAAGTGTGTGTGTGTGTGTCTGTACAGGGGGGAGGGGGGTGCCGTTAGCCACCTGAGTGTTGACTGGCTGTGGTGCAACAAATAGTTCACCTCCCTTTATTTCTGATCTTGACCCCGCGCGCCTTACTCCAGCCCGCGCCCTCTGCCACACGCCTCCATCTGCTCATTACGCGGCCCTCACTACTCTCACTCACTCGTTACTACTCAAGGAGCCATAAAGAATACGCAATATAGCCAAGTTTAGAGCCACGGTAAGTTGTTCTCGGTTGAAATGGCTCTGTAAGACTTTAGACAACATGTTTAAAAAATACACACGTACTGTAAGAGCGCCTCTCTAAATTTGTTATTGCCATCATAATAGTTGTGTAATTCTCTAACTGTTCAATATCAACTTGATCATCACGTTATTTATTGAGCAAAATAAACCTTCTGGTGTTGTGATATTTTCCTCGCGGTTATTTACGTGACTGGAACTTTATTTATGGAATAGAACTTAACAGACAGACATTTGGGTGCGTTTCATCGTGTGGCTGGCAGCCCGCAGGTCGAGCGGCGTTGTGGCAGCCAGCCTGAGCCAGGCAGCATTGAAGTTATCAGTATCCAGTGAGCGGTGGAGAAGTAAGGTTGTTATACTGTGGGGCTCTGGTGTGTGTGCTTCTTGTGTACAGGAAGTAAACAGTGTAGCGTGTAAAATAATGTGACCAGTGTGGTGATAACTATGGTTGATAATACTCTTGTTGAAGGTGCACTTAAATACCGAGATGGCAAGAAGGTAAGTCCAATGTTTTGAGTTTTTAAGGGTTTTTGAGATAAGTTTAGGGGCAAGATGAGTTGGTGAGCCGCGGTGCACCACCGTGGGAATTTAAACAAAGTGCGCCCCAGAGCGTGACAGCTCTCCAGGTGCACGTCCGTGTGTGTGTGTGCCCAATGGGCATGAGGGCATTTGTGTGAAGATTAACTTATACTCACCCATAGTATTTCTCAGTGTGTTAAGGTACGTGGATTAGTACTTACGGTCTCAGAATAAAAGCTGCTTCAGTTCCTTAGTAACACGTTAAATTACACACACGAGGAAGGTCTTACGGGATGATAATGGTAATTTGGATTGAATGGAAACCTGGACTCACGTCCTTCCGCCTGTGTGGTGGGTGGCAGATGCTTCAGGGGTGGAAGGTAGTAATTGAATTATCCAAAGCACGGCGCTGACTACTTCATTCATTCGCTGCTAAATTTACGGCCTCGTATCTTAGCGGATAAACTGCCTGAAAGCTACTGTAATTTGTACCTTTAGTTGATAAATTGTCAGGAAGTTTAGGCGAGACGGTTTAAAAATCGATAATGTCCATGAATGATGTGTGTAGTGTAGTGTAGTGTAGCCTGTTATGTGTGTGTGTGTTAGGGGGGGGGGGGCTGGGCTAACTATAGTTACAACCTCGTGACCTAACTTAAAATAACTCAATTGTTGAAGTAAGGAAGTTATTAATTTTATCCCTTGTAACCAAATACGGAATGTAAAATGAGTTTGTATCCAGATGTTGGTGGCTGGGCTGCCTATTGTGGTGGCCCTGTGAGGTACTGAAGATAATAACCAGGTGAAGTAGAGTATGGAGAGGGCGACAGCCAATCATGAACGAGTTAATTTTTTTCAGTTACATGTGATTATTTTTTGTGGAGGATTGCGAATTAGAGGCCTTGAATGATTGTTTTTATTATGAAGAATACAATATGTAAAGAGACCTTTGTTATATTGTCTAGTATGTAATTTGTGTCGGCCATTCAGTGGTAAAGTTTTTCCCGTCATTATTTTGTCGAAGGGAAAAAAATGTACCGTAATTCAAGAGTTTCTCACGATTATTTTAGTTTTTATTTCAGTTCAGGGTTGAAAGGTGACATGTATGGTGGTACTGTGATACGATGGTAAAATTTTCATTATAAAGTCTGGGTTTTATTTTTCTTTACTGAACATTGCCGTAACAGCAGCCAGGTTAGGTTTAGGTGAGTGTGGTAATGCAGGTAAAATGTTCACCTTATAATGATATTTGACTGGTGGTCGACTCGTCCTGGCTGAGGCTGCCTCGTTTAATGTGTAATTTGTGTGAGTTAGCCAAGTTGTTGTTGACTTGCTCGCTGGAAGGAGATTGATACAACAAAGGTCTTTAAAAACTGTGCTGCGGGTTTTCAGGTCCCGGGAACTCTCTGGGTGGATGTGGGTTGTCAGAATTATCAAAGTTGTTTTTGACGTTTATGAAGCAACAAGAAATAGGAAATGGAAAACCTGGTGGCTGTAGTTGAGGGAAGAAAATGTTGAGCTGAAGTTAGGAAGAAAATGTGATATTTTAATACGAAAGGAAACACGTTTGAGACGAGGATGGTTTAGGTTAGGTTAGGTTTATTGAAGTGAAGTTAGGTATATTTTGATTGGGTTAGATTAATTAATATAGATAATCGTATCTGGTCTTAGAAACTACAGCCTTGACTATCTTATAATAAAAATAATAATAAATGGACTTTTTAAAACCTCACTTCGTTTTTTCCAGGACAGAAAATGTTTAAGCTAAAAAAGTGAATTGGGGTGGGGGGCAAAAAGAGATTGATAGATAGGGATTTTCAGAACCGCAGTGCAGTTTTTCACGACTTGAAATTGTTGAGCTAATGTGAGATGGTGACAGCGTGTGGTGAGCGGAGCAGCTGGCCAGGGAGTTCTTACTGCTTGTTGTCTGTCTGTGGAATCTTAAGATATTTTGTCCGGCTACATAACGGCCATGGGAGTACTGTACTGCACCCGCCAAGACACGGTCGAGTCTGGGTGATATTTCGACGCCATGTTTGTCCTTCTTTGTGTTGTAGCATAAGAGACAGATTGTAAATGTCAAATAATAGATTCTTATACGATATTTGTGCTACTAAACGAAGATGTCAGAGTTCGCATCAAGGCACGGTCGAGTCGGGGTGATATTTTGACGCCATTTTGACCGTCTTTGTGTTGTAACTTGACAGGGAAGTTAATGCCAAGGTTCTGATTTTGTAGTTTGTAGTTTTTATGGTAAATAGAGATCACATCAACATAGCGTATAGAGTCTTGGTACAATCTTGGCTCCATTTTGATTATATTTTGTGACGTAGTTTAAGGGAGACAGATTGTGTGTCTTTACGGGGGGCTTTGAAGTGTGAATGAGGATAGGCCTATAGACCCCCGAGTCGGCCATACTGTGTGGTGGTGCAGTGGCTGTGTGTGTGTGTTGTGATGACTGTGTGTGTCTAGTAATGTGTGTATGTATGTGTATGTACTGTCTGTGTGTATGGCCGTCGCAATTCGTTTAGATTGATTTAACTTTTTTTCCTGGATATTTATGAATCATTTACCGTATTTTGACTGTGTATTTTATGATACTTGTATGTATGTATATATGTATTTATTTATTTCTGAAGGTGGTGGTGGTATTATGTGTGAGTGTTTATGAAAGTAGATGTGTGTTTTTGGTGTGTGTGTGTATGTAGACAAGCTGTATGTATATATGTGATACTGTATGCATGAGATGGTGTTTATGTGTATGGTTACTCTCATCTGTATACAATATGTCGTGTATTTGCTCAAGTAGTGTGTGTGTGTGTGTATGTGTGTGTGTGTGTGTGTATTTAGCCCTGTGTACGCCTCCCTTCCCCCAACAGACAGACGCGCCTGCTACATCTCATGACCGTCTCGTCGCCTGCCTCTGTTCCCCAAGTCGACACTGTTCTTAAGTCAGTCGGTGCAGATTCACTGATGATTTTAAATTGGGAAACTTCTCTCGGCTGGAGACATAGACGACCGTAGTAGATGTCAGCAAGATTTTTTATTTATGTATTTTTTTTTATAGATTCTGGACCAAGAAAGTGGTTAGGATTGGTTTGGTTAGGATATGATTGGTTGTTTTTGGTTAGGTTAGGGTTGGATAACTTTGGTATGGTTTGGTTAGGTTAGGGTTGGATAACTTAGGTATCAGTTGGTTAGGTTTTTGTGCTGTTTATGTTAAGGTTTAGGTTAGTTTAACTTAAGAGCTTGTTCGATATGGTTGTTATCTTCGATTGGTGAGGTTAATATTGGTTAGGTTAACATGTTCAAATGCTCCGTTTTGGTCGGGTTAAGTTCCTTTTGGATGGGTTAGGTCAGCTGAGGTTATGTTAAATCGGGTTTGGTTAGGTTAAGATAGGTTAGGTTATATTAAATCAACCTTGGTTTAGGTTAAAATAGACTAGTTAGTAATTACCAGCTTTAACCTCTTCTATGGTGTTGGTGGTAGTAGTGGTAGTGGTGATGGTAGTAGTAGTAGTAGTAGTGGTGGTGGTGCTGCTGCTGCTGGTGGTGGTGGTGGTAGTAGTAGTAGTAGTAGTAATAATGGTGGTAGCATCAGTAGTAGTAGTAGTAGTGGTGGTGGTGGTCAGTACCCAAAACAACGTGCTCTTTTATATATATATGTATATATATATATATATATATATATATATATATTTGGCCGGATTGATTTTTATTATACTACGCCGCGTATACTGGGGCTGAGGGAGGGAGAGGCCCCTGGGTAAGAGGTGGGGGCTGGGGTCTGGGCTATTGATCTGTACCAGTCTGTTATCGGGATTAGACCTCTAGAGCAAAAAAATATATAAAGGTATCCAGTGTAGAGTCGTGTGGGTGGGTCGGCGGGTGAGGGTAGGTGGGTGAGGGGGTAGGTGGGTGAGGGTAGGTAGTTATGAGTAGGTCTTCTTTAGATAGGTTTAATATCCTTAACCAGATTAGATTTTTTGTGTGTTTTGATTCATTCGTTTGTTTTTGTTTTTTTTAGTGTTTTTGTTATTTATTTGGTGTCAGATTATGTTATGTTAGGTTAGGTTAAGTTGTATTAGGTTAAGCTAAGTAGAATAAGATAGAATGATTTAAGTATGGTAGTCTTGGGTAATGTGGGTTAAAGCCGGATACATGAGGCCAATCCCAGCCAGCCAGCCCAAGACCGGTTTCTATACGGATACACGTGTTGGCCAGATTTCTTTTTGTGCAGTGAAGCGTATCTGGCCAGCAGCCTCCACCTAATTGATAGTCAAGATGGCGATTAGGTAATTAGTAACCTACAAAATTATTTTTTTGGGCGTAATTATACCTGTTATTGACGTGATAGTTCAGGGTTGTTCTGGTCCCATGGGCTTGTTTTGGCTTCGGTAATGTGAATAGTTATTGTTCAAGATAATCATTTGTGTTTAATTGGTCGTTATGGCTGTGGTAGTTCAGGTAGTTATTGTGTTCTTTTTGGTTGTTGTGACACATGTGGATAGTTAACGTATCATATGTGTACATTGACTTACATAGTGTATCATATGTGTACATTGAGTTACATAGTGTATCATATGTGTACACTATTGCGCTACACATTAAAGGCAACAGAATGAAAATCGCAGCAGGTGATATGGTTTATGGTGTGTGTGTCGTATAAGGTAAAATAATGACAGGTATATAACTTCAGATGATTTACGTTGGTGGAGAAATTCCCTAGTGAGACACGTATATTTTTTTTATTGGTTACAGGGAAAAAAATATCTCTAGAATTGTATTATGTATAAGTGTATGAATGAGTTATAAGATTATATCGTCAGTCGTCTATCATACTTGCATATGTGCGAGTGTATGAATGAGTAATGAGAGTATTGTCACCTGAGTAGTATATGTATAGTTTTTCGTGTGTATTACTGTATGGGCGAGGAGCCAAGAAATCTACGTCATCGTCATCATCACACACACACACACAC